CAGACTGCTGGTAGATAGTATGGCGCGATAGGAGGGTACCAGCTGTCTGCTACTCTCCTATCGCGCCATACTCTCCTTTCCCGGACGCTGGTAGACGCTGGTTCACGCTGGCAGACGCTGGATCGATATCTGTGCTTTCCCAGTCGCTGATGCTGCCGGAAGCTAGAAACGCTAGTGGACGCTGGTAGATGCTGGTGGACGCTGCAACCTATGAAGCAGCCTTACAAGATCGTGTCAACGCAAAAAGGATCGCCGATACACGCAGCGCGGGCTGTATGGCCCGTTGGGTGGCGCGGTATCGACAGTGGCGCGTCACGCGTACCTAGTTGATTATCGCGAAAGCGCTTAAATACAGTACCAGTCAGGGAATGCGCGTGCGCGTAAAGACTTGGAGCTGGTTGCTACAACTTGGGGTGGATGAACTGAATTCCCGGAGTCTCAGTTCACATTTTTCTGCAGTCCAGATGCAAATGGTCCAGCCCTTCAACCCTACAATCTCTCCAATAAATGAAGTAAAGGTAATAAACTCCAAGGTTATTGTCCCACCTTCTCGAACAAGATTTCTCGACGCGACATTGAAGTGGCTCTCTCCCTGCTGGCCTTGGTGCTGCCTAGGAACTAGTAATTGAACTGATTAATCGTCTTTGAAAAATAACAAAGTAGAGAGGAAAGGGTTTCTATGGATTTTATGGTACATCTCTTATTAGTTAGGCCATGTTCATACACTCCATATCGCGCAAGTGAACAGGGCGTGGCTGCGTACCCACTTGAATGTTGCCTATTTCAGAACATTTTTCTAGAACAATTCACGTCTCTGTCCAGTACAAGATAGGATGGGACTAACCTTGAATATCATTCACCAAGCAGGGAATCCTGCTGGGACAAGATCAAATGATGTGGGCGTACGCAGCCACGCCTACCTCATCTTTGAGATATTGAGTGCAGATTAGATAATCGGAGATTCGGGGAAGGGAAGAGATTGTGTGTATGTAAGTCTGTGTGTGTGTGTGGTGTGTGTGTGTGTGTGTGTGTGTGTGTGTGTGTGTGTGTGTGTGTGTGTGTGTGTGTGTGTGTGTGTGTGTGTGTGTGTGTGTGTGTGTGTGTGTGTGTGTGTGTGTGTGTGTGTGTGTGTGTGTGTGTGTGTGTGTGTGTGTGTGTGTGTGTGTGTGTCACTCTAGTTCTCCGCTGACGGTTGGCGTGTCAGCCAGTATGAGCCTGACACCCTATCAAATCCGTTCTCTGCTCTGTTGCTGAAAAGCGCACGCGACAAAAGATGTAGAAGACGTGTAATATGAAGAAATACGGTATTGTCTTTTGCCCGCTTCAACAAACTGGTGTAGAACGAGTATGGCACCGCGCCAAACGCAGCCGCAGTGATATGCCCAACTGTCTGCAGCCGAACTACACTTTTAATCTGGTGTGTGTGTGTGTGTGTGTGTGTGTGTGTGTGTGTGTGTGTGTGTGTGTGTGTGTGTGTGTGTGTGTGTGTGTGTGTGTGTGTGTGTGTGTGTGTGTGTGTGTGTGTGTGTTACACTCTAGTTCTCGCTGACGGTTGGGCGTGTCAGCCAGTATGAGCCTGTCACCCTATCAAATCCGTTCTCTGCTCTGTTGCTGAAAAGCGCACGCGACAAAAGATGGTAGAAGACGTGTAATACGAAGGAATACGGTATTGTCACTTGCCCGCTTCAACAACTGGTGTAGAACGAGTATGGCACCGCGCCAAACGCAGCCGCAGTGACACGCCCACCGTCTGCAGCGAACTACACTTCATTTGGTGCGTGTGTATTGGTGTGTGTGTTGTGTGTGGTGTATAGAGTCACTGATAGCCAACTGGAGAGTAGGAGAATGAGAGAACTCGCGGAAATGATTAGATACCATCGACTGATATTCCACTCTCCATTTCACCCATTTCTCAGCGGGAGGGGGGGGGGAATCAATCCGGTTCATTCCCACGAATCCTTCTACTCCCTGGATCGATACGTATATGGGTAGAGTAGATGCACAAGACCCTCCTTGTTCTATAAGATGGCCCAGACGGGCAGACATGGTTGCGCCGCCGTCTGGGCTCCGACAGTGTTGCTAGATGCTGACACTGAGGAGTTTCAGGGTGGTTGGGCATGGCGCGGCGCAAGCCTGTTCTCCACCAGTCGTGGAATGTGGCAGGCGATCACAACTGGTGGCGATTACGCCGACGCCGCGCTGAACTCAACCTCTGTGGAACGCCCAAGCGTTTCGCACGAGGTTTGGCGGTCCCTCACAGTTTCTCGGCACCTGCCCTTTCCCTGTGAGGTCATACAAAGTTTCCTCTACTGTTCCAGATCCCTTAGCAAGAATGTTAACGAGGAACTTACCTTTGACTTCAAGCACATCATCACTGACGAGACGAACACCACCATACTGCTACATAGAAAACTACTGAGCATCCACAACCAAGTATAAATGACTGTTCCATCATCTAGAATCGAGCTTAAATAACAAATGGTATCTTGCTAGTTGCACTTATCGAATGAATGCGAGGGTCAGGCGGTGTAACTCAATCAGAAATGAGGCTAATGTTGCCGGACGAGCACTTCACCAGTCTTAGTAGGCAATGTTGTTCAAGCTGGCGCTCGCAACCTGCACGAGAAGCTTTTCCACTTTGAACAATCCCTTAGTACAAGTGATCCTAGAAGTATGTTCAGTTGTTTGCACGACCATCAGTTTGTTACGAAATTCGGAGCGCGCATCGCAATAATAATGGAGCTCTGAATTTAAGGTTTTTTTTAGTTTTCGACGGATATCTGTGAAATATCCCGCATACAGGTCACCACCATGTGAGGAACCAAGAAAATCCGTCCGAACTCCGTTTTTCAGCGTTGCCAAGTCAGAAATTCTGCCTTTGATGCCCGAAGAACAGCATGACCCGTTGTTTTTTTAGGTTGACTTCACCATGGAAGTCAGCACGCGCCCAGGAGTCAGCACTGTACAGCAGGCTATAGAAATATGCTCGAATAGTAAAAAGGTCATCTCCACAGTGATCACCTTATCGTTGCTATAACATTTATGACGACTCCGATTTGTTTCGAAAACCTTGAAATCAAGGCCAAGCACCGTCCATTGCGGTTTTTTACTGCGAAGTAATTACAACGCCAAAAAATCGCATCCACTTATCAGTTATTATAGGAAGTTGCAGTCCGCATGGAATGGCGCAACCATGCTTATCACTATAAAAGAGCACTGGCTCCCAAGCTGACAACACGACATGTTCGAGGAAAAACTCATCGTCGGCGTGGCTTCGGCCTGCTCTCTTTTGGCCATTGTTGCCTGCCTCATTGTGGTTCCGTCGCTGTACAACACCATCAACGAGATCCACGATGAGGTCCTCGACGGCGTGTCCGTGTTCCGCGTCGAGACTGACTCCGCCTGGAGCCAGATGATGGACTTCCAAGTCACCTGTTGCTCCCCCAACCAAGCCACGTGAGAATCCCTTCGGCTCTATCTTCCGTAGCAAGAGGCAAGCCGGTCTTCCCTCATACTGCCAGTGCACGACTCCAACAGTCAACTGCCCACCTGGACCTCCTGGACCTCCCGGACAGCCTGGATCACCTGGTTGGTTTCTTTCTCTTCATATCACATATGTAAACAATTACATACTTTTCAGGACAACCTGGATCACCTGGTCAGCCTGGACAGCCCGGTACCTCCAACTTACACTCCAGTCAACTGCCCATCTCCACCCGGAGGTTGCGTCACTTGCCCACCTGGACCCGCAGGACCACCCGGACCAGATGGAAATCCCGGAGGCCCAGGACCCAACGGAAACCCAGGTGGCCCTGGACAGCCTGGTTCAGATGGACAGCCAGGACAGCCAGGACCTCCAGGAGATGCTGGAGCACCAGGAAACCCAGGAGGCGATGGACAACCTGGACAGCCCGGACAGAGCGGCACCACCTCTACCAACACTCCCGGAGGACCTGGACCAGCTGGACCACCTGGAGCTCCCGGAAATGCAGGAGGACCCGGACAGCCAGGAGGTAACGGAAACGATGGACCACCCGGACCACCAGGACAGCCAGGAGCACCAGGACAGCCCGGAAACGACGGTCGTCCAGGAAACCCAGGAGGCACAGCACCTCCAGGAGGTGATGCCGCCTACTGCCCATGCCCACCTCGCTATGGTGCACTCGGAGCTGCGGCTAAGAAACGCGTTGCTGCCAAGCACTAAGCAATTAAGGAGCACCGTATTGGTTTGTAGACTATCACAGTATTCTTTAGATAGCGGATACTGGGAAAATAAACGATTTGCTCCAAATTTTCTTTGTTTCATTTCATAAAAAGTTTGTGAACATGTTCGGCTGAGTTGTTGAGCCTGAAGCTTCCACACAGAGAATGAAAAGAGAGTGAATGAATTTGAGAATGAGGAGTGAATGAAATTACTCTGCTTTATAAACCACCATTTTAAACCTTTTTAAACCGAGGACTGAGTGGCTAGATGTCTTATTAGGGAAGTGATGGGAAAACACCACAGCTTTTGAACACGGAAACAAAATGGGTAGTGGAACCAAGGCACTAGTGAGAATCTCTTGAAGGAATCGCATTTCATCGCTAGATAGGAAGGAGATCGTTCAGCACTTAAGAATGTTCGAACGATAGAAAAGAAATGGTGCCAAAGCTCCTAGGAATCTCCCTAGTGCTTTGGAATTTCCCACGACAATTTGGTAATCGGGAAACCTTCAAAGCAGTGAGCCTTCGGAAAAAAGAAATTCTATCTCTGAAAAGAATGAATCTTCCGAAATCCAACACTGCTTCAGTTTTGCGAATGGCCACCTACCCGAAACAAGTTACAACTGTAAAATCATGAACATTGATGCAATGCTTACCTCCAGCAACGGTTTCGCGACGGAAATATTTTTTAATGGAAAATATTTGAAAGAAGTTTTGCACACTCCAGAAAAGGGCGAACATGGTACTTCCCAAAGCTGCCTTCATTTCGCCGGTGCTCTAATTCGAACAAAGTTCTGATCGTTCTAAGAAGGGGTATGCCTGTTTCACAAGATCTCGTAGAATACCATGCTTTAGTTCGACCACAGAAGCCTCAATCTGATGTTACGCAAAAATAGTTCTGGTCAAAGCAGTTGCGCCCACTGCTCATCCCAGCGATGGAGTAGGCGTGGCTGCAGAGTACGCTTGAACATGGCGTGGATGCATTCTTCGTGAGTTTTTTTTCCATATGACACAGTTGTTGTCCTTTCCTGTACTGGACAAAGTCATGGTTACAGCTGTTTAAAGACAGCTCGCGCGATAAAAGTGTCATGGATAATTGTTCTTCTATTATGAAACAGTAGCTGATAGTATTCCAATAGAAGAAAAAGCAGGAAGAGTACTCGAAACTGCACAAAGTTGTACTGACGTCACACGCGCTGGCGTGTATGCAATCTCTCGCATCTGCGAAATTCCTTTTCACTTCCAGTAGTGCTATGATCCACATGCAAACAAAGAAATAGCGAAAACAAAAAAAAAACACGGAAGAAACTCTTGAAGAAAAAAATTTTAAATACGGCGTCGTAAATTAGGGTAACGTAGATGCATTTTTAATGTAGTGGCCGTGCGTCGAGTCTTTTTCACCAGGAAAACTGGGTCGCTGCGTTACGTAATCTAGCGTTTATCTTGCGAGATAGGCTTCAGTTGAACTGTACTTGTCTTTATAAATTAGTATGTAAAGAGAGAGGCGAGAATCACTGAGGGGAGGGGAAATGGACATGGCTACGAGGTAGGGTCAGCAAAAAAGACATGCCAATTCGATATGCGCGCCCCAACAACGAGTAATGGGCGCATTCGCCAGAGGGGCCTAGAAAGTGGGCGGTCCATCACTGAGCGGCGTTAGACTTAGACTTCAGCGGACTCTAGTCGCGTCTATGTTTCGATCGCGTGTGGAGTCGCGAGCTGGGATAGCTTGCTTGGCTGTACTACTTGCACAAAGAAGGACGACCATGTACTGCTCGAGCGCGGGGACTGTCTTCAAAAACTGCAATACCCCCATCCCCCTACCTTTGAAGCGCAGCTCCTGCCACTTTCGATTGAAGTACACAGTTACGGACTCTCCATCCCTGAGATATGGAGTGTATGTACTACAGGGTGCTACCGTAAACCTGCCCTTGATCTTACTGTAGATTTCATTTAAATCACATACACTCTGGATTTGGACAGAAGAATCCAAACGAACAACAACTGCTGGGGAATTGGATCATCTAAACTTGTAGCGAATGGTTGCTGCTTGTAAAATGTATGAAAGCAAGGTGAAATAATCCTGATGTTATTTAAAATTTAAATCAAAAGTTACTCGGCCGCCCAGTAAGCTGGACTTACAAAAAATGTTTATAAAAATGTTATGATCGCTGCGGGACGGCTATCCTATCACCAACTAGTCCAACAACAAAAATTAGGCTGCATAGTACGCAGTCCATAAGATTTGAGATTACAAGGAGCTTAGAGGAACAGAGATCATCAAGAAGGACATGACTATAATGGAGGCCACAGAAAATGCTTTAAAGGTGGCGTTTAACAAACAACGTTTAGCAAGGGACCCGTGGTCAATCCGGCCATTTCCAATGAGGTGTGCATAGTTGTATGCAAGTTCTCTTAAGTGAGTTATGGAAGTTTTTAACCCCTTTTATTTCTTACTGCTATCTTTGCGCAGGGGCAATATTACCACCAAAACGGCTGAAGACTCACAACCACGCTGGAAAACCATTAGCACACTTAGCACGAATACGTGAGTAGAAATACCGTATTGGTTCTCTGTAACGCTGCATTCATACTTCGCGGCAGCGTTTAGCAGCGTCCACTAGCGTTCACGAGCAGCCGGGAGTAGAGAGTATGTGGAAATGGCAGGGTAGCAAACAGCTACCCTTCTAGGGTGCAAACAGAACAGGATTAGGGGTCGTGAAATTGCGGCGTGTGCAACCGCATCGCCCAAGTGCTAAAGCACAGAATTATACGGCGCGGTTGCACATGCCGCAATTTCACGATGCCTAATTTAGTTGTTTGCTACTTCTATTTTCCCATACTATTTACTCCAACTCGCTGGTGAGCGCTGGTGGACGCTAAATCGATACCTAAACTTCCATAGCTCTCGTGACGCTAACAGACGTTGGTAAACGCTGGCCAGGCGTTGGTAGACGCCAGATCACCCTTCAGTTTCCTACTACTTTCCCTAGTTCGCCTGGACGCTGAGCGCCGGCCCCAGCTCGGAACGCCTAATGGTCGCTGGTTAGTATTGCTGTAGAAACGCTGTTAAAGGAATATCGAAAAAGGGACATGCACGATATTTTGCCACTTACAATTTTGTAAGAGTCGCATACATTCCCCATCTACTACGGTCAAACTCCGCCCACCTTTACGGAATGTATGATGTCCTCAACAAATTCCGACGCTTTCAGTTTCGCACCTAGCCACGCCCATACAGTCAAGCCCCGTACACTGGGGGAAACTCCGCCCACTGTCATGTTTTCGGATTTGTTGGAATGACAACATTTTCATGCACTTCTAAAACCCATTTCTACACGTACTTCTTCGAAGTTGGGTTTAAGTTCCGAACTTGGATGGAGCTTTGTCCTCAGGGGTGATCTGACTCCCTGAACACAAATAACTCCCTCGTTTGAGTGTGTGAGCACGCTGCGGGTACCAACATGCCCGAGCTTTCTTCTACACCACAGGACGTCCCTGTATAGAATTGATTTTAATTTATATTTCTAGAGGAGTACAGACAAACGCTGACCTACTGTCAAGATCCGGATCTTTTCTAGCTGTTCTTTTTTCGGAAAACACAAAAATAAACAGCCACTTAAGGGTTTCATACCGTGACCTTTCCTTGCAAGGTGAACTCATCGACGAGTGGGCTTCACTGCCACGATCATGCAATACGTCCCAGTCTTAACGACGCACTAGCGCGTGGTGCAATTTGTGACTCCTTTAACAGCATCGTACCACAATTTCAAACGGGGATTTGAGTTCACCGTACTGAGACGCGTACGTAGATGTGCATCTCAATGCAAATGGTCGGATCAACCATTTGATGGGGTTTCTTATTAATAGGCAGTGCAATGCAACATGCACGGAGATGCAAAATGTTTAGACCGTGTCAGGACTCGAACCTGCAATCTTCGGATCCGAAGTCCGACGCCTTATCCATTAGCTGTCCGCTCGACCGCGGTGCAACAATAGTGAAGCTCTCAACTCAATGAGTTTTTCGATGTGAATATCCCATCAAAGGAATCATGAAGTTTCGAGCCAGAAATTCTGCCTCTATTGCTGCCGAAGATCTGGATAACACAGTTGTTTTCCAGGTTGACCTCACCGTGGAATTCAGCATAAGCGTAGGAGCCACTTCCATAAAAAGGTTATAGAAATTCGCTCGAAAAGCAAGAAAAGGTGTTCTCCACAGTGATTATGTTTGCTACAACATTTGTAGCCGCTCCGATTTGTTTCGAAAACCTTGAAATCAAGGCCAAGCACCGTCCATTGCGGTTTTTACTGCCAAGTAATTACAACAGCCAAAAAACTGCATCCACTTATCAGTTATTATAGGAAGTTGCAGTCCGCATGGAATGGCGCAACCATGCTTATCACTATAAAAGAGCACTGGCTCCCAAGCTGACAACACGACATGTTCGAGGAAAAACTCATCGTCGGCGTGGCTTCGGCCTGCTCTCTTTTGGCCATTGTTGCCTGCCTCATTGTGGTTCCGTCGCTCTACAACACCATCAACGAGATCCACGATGAGGTCCTCGACGGCGTGTCCGTGTTCCGCGTCGAGACTGACTCCGCCTGGAGCCAGATGATGGACTTCCAAGTCACCGTTGCTCCCCCAACCAAGCCACGTGAGAATCCCTTCGGCTCTATCTTCCGTAGCAAGAGGCAAGCCGGTCTTCCCTCATACTGCCAGTGCACGACTCCAACAGTCAACTGCCCACCTGGACCTCCTGGACCTCCCGGACAGCCTGGATCACCTGGTTGGTTTCTTTCTCTTCATATCACATATGTAAACAATTATATACTTTTCAGGACAACCTGGATCACCTGGTCAGCCTGGACAGCCCGGTACCTCCAACTACACTCCAGTCAACTGCCCATCTCCACCCGGAGGTTGCGTCACTTGCCCACCTGGACCCGCAGGACCACCCGGACCAGATGGAAATCCCGGAGGCCCAGGACCCAACGGAAACCCAGGTGGCCCTGGACAGCCTGGTTCAGATGGACAGCCAGGACAGCCAGGACCTCCAGGAGATGCTGGAGCACCAGGAAACCCAGGAGGCGATGGACAACCTGGACAGCCCGGACAGAGCGGCACCACTTCTACCAACACTCCCGGAGGACCTGGACCAGCTGGACCACCTGGAGCTCCCGGAAATGCAGGAGGACCCGGACAGCCAGGAGGTAACGGAAACGATGGACCACCCGGACCACCAGGACAGCCAGGAGCACCAGGACAGCCCGGAAACGACGGTCGTCCAGGAAACCCAGGAGGCACAGCACCTCCAGGAGGTGATGCCGCCTACTGCCCATGCCCACCTCGCTATGGTGCACTCGGAGCTGCGGCTAAGAAACGCGTTGCTGCCAAGCACTAAGCAATTAAGGAGCACCGTATTGGTTTGTAGACTATCACAGTATTCTTTAGATAGCGGATACTGGGAAAATAAACGATTTGCTCCAAATTTTCTTTGTTCCATTGCCTCAAAAAAGTTTGTGGACATGTTCTGTTAAGGGGTTGTGGCTGAAGTTTTTACACATAAGAGGCGACTGAATGAAATTAGTCCGCTTTACAAAGCACTAGTTTCAAGCCTCGGCATGTGTGTCAGAGCACGTGGTGGCTATGGGTCTCATGAGGGAAGTGATGGGAAAAAACCACTTCTTGTAAAAACGAAAACAAATTGGTAGTGGAAGCAAGGCACTCGTGAGAATCTCACTGAGAGGACCGCATTTCACCGCTAGGTAGGAAGGGGATCATAAGTCGACGATGAAGAATAACTAAGAAAGTGCTATGGTTCCAAAGCAGGGGTCCCCTGGTCTTCCTGTGGCTCGGAATTTCCCACAATAATAAAACAAAGCGGAAACCTTTGAACTACTTGCTCTACGAAAAAAAGTTATTCGATTGTTGAGCGGAGAGGAGGAAACCTTACCAGTTTCAACACTGCTTTTGGTTTTGCGAATAGTCATCTATGAAACAATCTACAGTTGTAAAGACTCCTAAAGAAAACGATGTGATGTTAACTTTCATCAACGGTTCTACTAGGAAGATATTTCTAGAAATGAAAACATTTGAAATGAGTTAAAGGCACGGTCCGCGATAAAAAGCCTAGGTGATTTTGCAGAAATGTGGAAGAAAATTCGCCAAGTGAACCATCTATGAAGAGAAAATGCCAAAGGGAACGTTGGAAACGCATTCGTCAGGCCTCCTCTAGCCTCAAACAACTGTAGAGGTAAAAGACCGAAAAGACCGCGCGCTGGGACAATTCCCGTCGGCTGATTCCCAGTAATGAACCCTATGACTCTACAAGAGACATTGAATGCATCCACTCCATGATACTTGCCCGGGAGCATTACTTTTGGCTGGAAGGCCGACTTTGGAGGCGGAGTCTGGAGGCGGAGTCACTGGAAAAAGGGATGTACCACTGAAGCAACTTTGCGCCTTAATTCCTTTACCGTACAACTTTCCGCCGCGAAACTGGCACAGGGTTGTCCACCCGGACCTACCTTCCCACATAACCGCTTGCATTTGCATAGGTCATCGCGGACCCTTCCTTTAAACACATTCAAGAAGGAACAAACACTTTTCAGAACTGCTTCCCCTTTCCCAAAAGCTTATTCCAAAGAAAGTTGTGGTCTTTAAAGCAGGGCTACTCCCGCAACTTCTTGCCTATTCCACTGAATTTCGCGTAATAACATACTCTAGTGTAACGAAAAATGCTCAAAAATCGAGCGCGAGTTCAAACTCTACATCAGGAGGTGAAGGA